AATGTTGAGATTAAGCATGCAGCTTCCAGGGACATAGTTTGTTTCCGAATGTTGCCACGCCCATTCTAACGCTTACACCCCGCAAAGTTGGGGATGCAGCGGTTTTCAGGAGGCATTTTTCCGGACAAACAGTGTTGCCTATGGAGAGGCGATCGTCCACCATGGCATAGGTTTCCTCGGAGTTTACGGCGACCTTGTCATGCTTGACCATGACTTGTTTTTTTTCAAGGGTTGTAGGAAGGAGAAGAAGCAAGAGGTAGTCCTTGGGAGCGACCTTAGGCATGGCCAGAATATACAGAAGCGCCGTTCCGTTAATTAACACGGACGGGCGAGAAAACTCCAGTGCTTCGACTGCATTCTGATACGGCAGGTTCCTTATTTCAGTTAAAATCGACTGTACTTCCTCGTAGACGATGACAGTAGTGTATCCATTTTTTTTCGCTCCTTTGACCAACAATGGCATATGAATGCATTGCACCACTCACACATTCACTCCACCCAACATCCTTGCTCATTTGGTCTGCGCCTCCGAGGGCGCATTCATAATTTCCCCATTAACCATATTTTCCTGTTAAGCAAGAGTGCCCCAAAAAGCGTAAAGAAGAAGAGATTGTCACCCATCCACCCCATGGAAATAACTCTTGCTCCCTGATGGATTTTAAATGAACTTTAACACGTGCGCGAGTGGGATGGTCAAAAAGGACCGAACAGGTTCGCTTCACAGATTATCCTTGAGTTGATTTTACAGCTAAACTAATAACAAAAAATGTTCATTCCAGTTGGCAACAGCAGTTGGCGCAGAACGAAAACTTTCCTAATGAGATATTGAGCATTCAGAAATTGCAAATTGCATGGCATTCGTAAGAAGATGTTACTCAAGTCTTGCAAAAAGAGAATACCATCCGTTAATAGCTTTACCTATAATGTCCCTTAAAAGCGTATAAGGAAACCTATACATTACGAAGTTCAATTCCTGCAGCCAAACTTTACGAAGTTCCATTTCTGCAGGCAAACTCATTTCCTGATCCTGACAGGTACTTTTGCTATGCTACTGAGTTTTCGAATTTTCCCAAATGTGATTTCCAATTCAAATTCATAGTTAAGAAAGCATTTCTAAAATGCATTCGATCCATTGAGTGGCATCAAACTGCCCAGCGTTAATCCGTACTTGTGGGTCGGCCATTTTTACGGCATTTTCCTGAGCACGAAGAATGGCGTCCCAGTCCGACGCATCCGGTGACCCCGCAATCCATTTCCAGGCGGACCCAATCCATTCCAGCGACCGACGTCCACGCTGTGTACCCGTCAGTCTCGACAGGCCCTCCTGTGACTCCTCCAAGTAGTGCGCCACCAGCGGTGCAATTCTGGGATCCGTTAGCTTCACACGCCAGACGGTGCTCTCTTGCAGTGGGACTAGCGGAGCCTCATATTTAAAGAGGCCCGCCATATGGGTTGGAGAGAATAGTCTTATGAGTAATATTATATTATCTGATGTTACTTAAATTAGCTTAGAGGTAAGGGATTAAGTACGTCAGTGTTAAGAAATGCTTCTGTTTCGTTTTAAAAAGGTGCGTGAATTATTGGTGTGTTTAAATTATGGTACAAGTGGTTTTGAAGTGTTTAATCATGGTCGTGTAGGGGAAGCGTGTAAAACGCACACAAACGATCTGGTGCCATTTCAGTTCCGTAAGTCTGACTTTTGGAAGATCTTGCCTCTCTTGGTTTTTATTGTCACATTTCTATCTTCGACAATCTTCTCGGCTTTAAAACGTTGCTTCTCCTTCGTTTTTATTTGTTTATTGGCAACGAATATTTTGTCGCCCTCGTTATATGGCTCGCCTTGTTTTATTATGAGCCGCGCTTGCGACCTCTTGTCGGTATTTAATCAGACCCCTAACGTCCTCGAGAACCTTAGTTCTGAAGTTAGTTAGACCTTGGTAGTGATTCTGGCCGAGCTGTCAATAAACAGGACCGCTGGCTTATTAGTTACTGAGTGGATAGAATTGTTGTACCTATCTACCGCAGTGGCAACCAATTCATTTAATTTGAAGCTGGGTGCTCGCACTTCAAACACCGGTAAATCTCGAGGAAGGTATTATGAAACCTCTCGATTTGGCCATTGACTTCGCTTTTCTATGTCGTTGTGTTGTACAGGCCGATACCCAACGTACGCAGGTAATTCAGAACCGTTGGACACAGAACTGGTCTCATTGTCAGAGACCAGTACCCTTGGAACGGTAAAGTAGTGAAGTACCTCAACTAGTTTTTCCCGTAGATGGATCGCCGAGTTCGATTCGAGAGGGAAGAGCTTGGCAAATTTCGTGAATTTGTCTATACAGCTTAAGTAAATATTCTCCTCCAAGGTGAAAATATCGATGTGAAGAATTTCACACGGGTACCTTGGGATAGGTGTTGGTTGGAGAAATGTTTTTTTGGGGTACCTCTCGTACTTGAAGAGCGTACGCACTCGCACAACGAGAGTTGCCTGCGGATGGTACTCGCCATCTAGGAGAAATAGTATTTCTCAAAAAGCTGCAGGCGCACCTGTTTGGCACCCCTATGAGCTCTGCGATGTTATCGTTCAATAACTTCGCAGATCTCTTCGGTATCCGACAAGTCTATCACCAGCCTCTGCGTTATTCGAATTTTTAAAATTCTCTAAGCAAAGGCGTTGGAATGATGGCAGGTAAGTTTCCGGGATTTCCGGTGGTTTACGGTATTTTCCAAAGGTAACGACCAATTTGGACAAAAGACCAGTACCGACGGGAAAAAGATGGCGTTCGATGCCCCTGTGGGGTTTCTCGCACAAGTATTCCGAACGCTCAGGTTCAAAAACTAGTTGATTCCGGTAAACATTAATGGGTACTTCTTCGTGAGGTAGCAAGTTGGTCTGCGCTATGCACGGTGGAGCCCCCTTCAGCAGTGTACGGACGGCACCAATCAAAGTAGATTCATCGGAACTATACGGGACAAGGCGTCAGCATCTACCGGGCTTGTAGATGAGAAAACCATTGTACTCCTCTATTCTCGCTTTCCAACGTTTTAGTTTGGCATTGAAATTCCTACTCCCTAACGCAAACGACAAAAGTTGATGGTCTGTATAAACCTTAACCGATGCAGCGCCATACAAATAGGACCTGAGGTTGTCCAATGGCCAGACTATAGCAAGCAGCTCTTTTTCTATAGTGACATAGTTTTCCTCAGTTAAGACTATAACTACTGGGTTACGGGCTACATTTTCGGATTCTAAAGTACTAATCCTATTATAAATTTTTTCCATATCGTCTTTAAGCCCGTTCATTTGGGCAAGAAGTGCATTAAGTGTCTCCTTGATTTTCTTCTTTTTAACATAAGTGCAACGGACAAACAAAAAGCAACGGGAGTATATCGAATCGGATAAGAATATAGACAGATAACCAAGATTTCAAGATTTAATTATTTAATAATGTTACTTTAAGAATTCACGGATTTTAAATTTTTCTAATAAAAGGCACAGATAGTAAATGCTGTTTCACACGCCCTTGGCAATTTGTGTTAATCCTTGTGTGAGCGTGTTGAGTGTGTCGTTTCTTTCTTAATATCTGCAGGAAGGAGAACAATGTCTTTCAGTTCAATTGCAGGCAATGGGTTTTTTTTTCTTTTTTGCTTGTTATTTTTTCGATTTTAATTAATTTAATATATGACGACAGTGACGGACGATTTTGTGTTGAGTTGAACTTAGCACTGGGCACAGTGGTCCGTATTTTTCCTCTTTGGCCTTAGCCTACTAAGGTACGGTTGCCACACAATCCACTGGTCAGCTTTTTCGGGTGCCTCCGCACCGCTCAGCCTATTCAGCAGATTGCTACACGCCTTAGTTCACAATTCACAGTTCATTCTGTTACTGACGAAATTCTTCTTCTTGTTTTCTTCGGGTTGACGCTATGTGCTTTGTACTCGCGAATGGGCTACAGGGGCTGTACACAAATCGCCGCAGTGGGTTGCTACATAGGTCCTTTCTTATATTTAAAGTAGACACTTTGCGCCCGCGTAAAATGTGCCCCGCTCCTGGATGGACACGGCATTCTCACCGCGGCGGGTGGTCGTTTTTTTTTACTTTTATAGTTTCACTATCAATCACTGGTCACTTGTCCTTATCTTGTTTTACCACATTTCGTGGTTCACTTTTTCCGTTTTTTTTCTGTTTTTATTTTCTTATTTTTATAATTTTTATCGTGTTAAGTTGGTAACCATTGCGGGTAGTCAGAATTCTGACTGTTCGGGCGTCAGTTAAGTAAGACTATTTCTCGCTTGACTTGCTACGGCTCTCGTAGCCGCATAGCTCATCTAGTAAGTATGGAGAGCATTCCAAGTGTTCTTTGTAGATCAATGGCTTCTGCTGTGTGGCCGAAATGCGAGCCATGCTATGTCAGCGGTTGCTTACCCAACATCCGCTGACTGCGCTGCTCCCAACAACAAAGTGTCGCCTGAATACGTCGTCGAGTTAGTGGACAAGCCCCTCCGCCTTTGCGAAGTCAGCGTTATTAAGGAATGTACTTAGAAGTGACTGACCGTCGAGTGGCGCAACGGGGAGAGCGCGTGTAAGAGCGGCGGTCGATAGGAGAGGGGTGATGATACTTGGAGAGGGTTCATAACTTATATGAGGAACGATATTATTGCACATGCCAATATTGCATTGTTTACAATAAATAAGTTTAAAAAATGCTGTTGAATGCGGTAACCAACAGTAAAGTAGCTATCGCATCAATCAAATGAATATATTTTTTGAATCTCTAGTTTGCTTGGTTAAAACAAACGGTACAAACGGTTATACATAATATATATACTCTGATTGACCTGTACCTATTAAATTATCAAAAAAGCAATCAAAAACCATATTCGGGGCCTGGTCGATTTATAAAAATAATAAGAGAATTATAAGAGAATGTCGTTTTATTTTTACCAATTTGCATAAATCATTAGTTAGGGTTCCCGCGTTTTTTCCGCGGGGTACTTACCACAAATTTAGGAAATCCAAACAGTAAAATGAAAAAGCTAATAAAATCACAGAGAAATAATAAAGTGTAAACATCAGTTGACAATCGTGACTTATGTCGCAACGTTAAAAAAAATTTATGGAATCCAGATAATAATCCTCCTTTATGCCTAAAAACATAATACTTAGTTGTTATTACTGAACTATTGAGGTACATACGCTAATCCCTGCATTGTTTTGCGATAATATTCGGATTCAATGTTTTGATACACGTATTTATTTTCCAAAACTGGTAGAAGTAAATCATCCTTGTCTCTCTTGAATTCTGTTGTATTAGAACGCATGACTTTTTTTGAAGTGTCACCTGCCTCTTCCCTTAAAATAATAAAGATTTATTATTATTCTTATTAATATTATTATTATTATTATTAATAAAGGTGCGCTTTCGATCTACAATTAGATCGCACTCACTCACCCATGCATGCGCGCATCGATGCACATAAAATAAAATTAAATCTAAAAGAAATAGTTAATAAAAAAGGTTATTAGCTCAACATTTAGTTTCCCCGACGTGTTTTTGCATAAACAATCGCTGTTGTTGTAGAGTTCGTTGTTGAACAAAAATATGTTTCCGCAATATTCCGAAAAGATTAAATACAGTGAGCAATTGCTCGAAATTGGGTTATTTTTGGGCGCATATATAGCCGAATATCGGAAGATGCTGCTAGTTCTCTGTGTTGCTGTTGCCGTGGCTGCTGAAAATTCTAACTTCGTTTGACGATTCCGGACGGCATGTGAGGTTGGAGCTGATCGATGAACTACGACAAACATTTAAGATAATTCTCAACGAGCTCGAAGAACTAAATATTAACGAAATTGAAAGTAATCACTACCACTTAAGCTTTGCTAACTGCATTTCTCGGTGCTATTGCAGCCATCAGCAGTGTCCACTTAGACATAGGGCACCGAAAGTCAGGCCTGCTTAAATATTGACTTTTTCAGCTAAAACATACTCCAACATATTGATCTGGCGAACCCCGACTTTCATCGTTCTCAACGCATAGATTTACTGATTAGCGCCAGTCTCTTCTACGAACTGCTGGGCGTCAATCTTCTGCCGGGATTGCTCTAATGCAGTAAACTTGGTTAGGTTGATTTGTTTCTGGAGGTTGCGATCGCTCGGATGGCACGAACCCCATACGGTATTATCGGAGAGGCCAGTACTGGAAGTTCGTCGAAGAGTCTTGCTTGGAATTTCTTCGTACACTGAAGGAGTAGTAAGGCTCACTAGCTCACTTTCCTCGCTTTGAACCACGATAGACTTCGTCGAGTATATGGACAGCTGGAGAAGTTTTCGTTCAATGATTTAATGATCGTAGCCCAATCATCGTATCGAAGAATTGTATTGCAGCAGTATCGGCAAATCTCTGCCTCTTAGGGATTCTGTTAAAAGCCACGTTTCGGCCGGGGGGATTATGTTGGGTCTTGCAGCCGCCAGGTTTTTTTTTTATTTGTTTATTGCCTTTATTTGTTTATTTGACACACAATTTATCTCTACGGCACCTCAGCTGTGCGATTATCTCTCGTTATCTAAGCTCGCCACTAATCAATTTTGCCTGCTGTCTCTGATGCTATCTAACATAAAAAGTGCCACGCGTCAGTGTAAATTATGTGATTCCAGTTAGTCCAGAGGTCTTCCTTCTTCAGTAGAGGTTCGCCTTTGACTAAGACTGAAGAGAAGACAATTATGGAAACTAAGCTTACCCCATCGCGCCACCACAAGTCGGCAAGCCGACTCAGCATTTCTTGCAGCGTGAAGCAACACTCCCAATAGGAAGTGTCAGCTTTCCGCTGCCAGGCGTTCTTTGCACGGAGCGCTGAACCCAATTCTAACGCGTCAGCATTGTTTATACAAAGCTACTTAGTTGTTATGAAGCAATACATTGTTAGTTGTTAACTACTCCCACCGTTTATGACCGTCCTCGGTAATGTTGAATGTGTCGATGGTTCGCTGTATCTTCCTGGAGGCTCGTCTTCTCCTTAGTACCAGATAAAGGGCGAAAGAGCCAATCAAACCGACGTTTAGGACCACACCAGCTACGAACCAGAGTCTAGGCGAGCCCTCAGATCCCATGTCATCCATAAGGCTTTGGATGTAGTGTAGGTTCTCGTTATTCATCCGGTGTAGCAGAGGGATGCTGAGCACAGGGTCGTTGCCGACGATGTTAAGTAATGGTGAACGCACAATGCCTGGCTGCTTGCTTAATGTTTTCCGTAGATTTACGAACTCGAAGCCGTTGATTGTTGCCGTTCGCTCGAAGGTCACCAGGTAGGTTCCCTCTACCAGTATTTCTGGGCTGCCATCAGTGCTAACGCGAGCTGCAGCTTCGTTGATAATCACAACGCCATCATCTACGGGACTTACTTCTTGTGAGTGGCTGGGTTGAGTATGGCATTGAACAGCGTTTCCGGCGTGGAGTGAGCGCGCACAAGTGTCGCGCCGAGAACACTCGCAGAACGTGTAGTGGGTGGTATCTGTGCATCCAGTGACCGCAAAGATGTCATGCTCACATTCGGCCAGTGTGTCCTCGTCGAGGCGTAAGATGGTGTGTTGGTGAGATACAGGGTAGACGGCGACCTTCTTGCAATTGAACTTGACTCTGGGATAGGCAATTAAAATGTGAATGCTATTTTCGGACTGGAGGACCCTGATCTTGGATGCTTCTATTAAGCTGACAATTGGGGTGTCCTGTTCTACAAGAGACTTCAAGTCGGCATGGTCAAGAATTGTGGGATTTACGATGTTTGATTTGGCCAAAGTGATAGTGAGAATTACATTTTGAATTTCTGTAAATAGCATCCTATTTCTTGCCAGTAGAGCTTCGTATAAGTGTGGAGTGTCAACCAAGTCACTTTTACGGGCGTTGATCACCTTATTGATGGTTCCTGGGTTTCGGAATTTATAATTATCTGCCTGGAATTAGACTCTACTAGTTGGGCCTCTGTGATCTTAATCTGTAGAAGGTCCGTGGCATCGGGAGTATCCGCCACTACCTTTAAGGCAGTTCCTAGGAAATCTACACTCCTAGCAACCCTATGGTGGACTTTGAGGACGGACAACAGGGTTCTAAGATGGTCAGTATCGACTTCTAGTAACTTACGCATATGCGAATGGGGAAAGGACGCGAACAGTTTCTGTGTTTCGTCTATCATACCAGCGTACTCGGAAAGGTTACTCGAATGTTTCAAGAGGCAACAGCGAAGGTGAGGGGTTGGTGGTCGGTAAATATATTGATTTCCCTAGAGCCATACAGGAAGTTCTGCAGCTTACCTAGGGCCCATACGATCGCCAGCAATTCCCTTTCGTTTGTGGCATAGATCTGCTCGGGCTGTTTAAGGGTGTGCGAAATCATGGTGATCGGCCTGCCCTCTTGAGATAGGACTGAACCGATGCCACTTGCCGAAGCGTCTGTCAAAAGGCTTTTTAAAGTTTTGGTATTTGAGTATAACATCCTCGGATGCTAGAATGTTACGCAGCCTTTGAAATTCGTTGCGTTGAGTTTCATTAAACTCAACAGGAATCTTTTTGGACACGTGTTTACTCACCGAACCATTTTCCCCTTTTAGGATATCTGTAATCGGACGGGCTATGGCAGCAAAGTCTTTGATGAAGACTCTGTAATAACTGGCTAAACCAAGGAAAGATATATCTTTGTAAACTCCTGAATGGCCTTCACCTTTTCCGGATCGGATTTACTTCCGTCCTTACTGACAATAAAGCCGAGGTATTCTACACTTTCTTTAAAGAACTTAGTTTTCTCCTGGCTTACTCTCATATTGGCATCGATTAGGCATTTTAGCACCGTATCGATGTGGCGGACATGGTCGGACTCGTTTTCTGAGAAAATTATTACGTCATCTACATAGACGTAACATATTTTCCCAATTTGTTCTCTTAGTATTCTGCTTGCATTTCTGAAGTCGAACGGTAGACGACCAAATTCGTATTTGCCGCCGTTTACTGAGAACGACGTCTTCTCACGGTCATGTTCCGCGAGGTATATTTGGTGATACCCTGATTTGAGATCAAGGGTAGTGAAGAATTTTGCCTTGCCCAGACTCGCTAGAATCATTTGGATGCTAGGCATAGGGTAACGGTCTGGGATAGTGCGCTCATTTAACTTTCTGAAGTCAATTACCAACCTCTTGTTCAGGTTACTGAACGAGTCAGTGCCCTTTTTGTCAACAACCAACGTCGGGCTGTTATAGGGAGACCTTGATGGCCTGATGATGCCATCCTTCGTTATTCACGAAGTCAGAAACACCCATGAGGTTTGGGTAAGCTCTCGAGTACACCGGTTCGTTGTCTACAGTACGAATTGTGGCAGTGACAGCAGTGTTGAAAGGGAGAGCTTCATGTGAAGTGGAGAAGGCCTTTTTCCTTCTCAAAATTGTGTCCTTGAACTCCTTTTTAATGGAGGCAGGCACCACAGTGTCATTCACGTCAGTGAAGTTCACACTAGGGCAGCTAAAATAGTGAAGTTTTTCACAACCGCCCTGATACTCTAAAGAGTCCTCAGCTAGATTCAACTTGACTCCGGCCTGTGTTAACAGTTCTAAGCCTATAATAGCGTCGAACGAGTTAAGGGAGTTCAATAGGAAGAACGGAGAGGTGTGCTTGAAGACCTTCATCACCCACTTTTGTTTGATTTCGGTGAAGCCATGTATAGAGCTCATCGAGAATGGACTGGTGAACGGCATCACATTTTTTAGCTCCTTTACGGGCTTAATGTAATTTTTTGCCGCGCCGGTGTCAATTAACATCTTTAAAATTCTCCCAGCCAACCGTCGTTCGATGAAGTCACCATCGTTTAATGAGTCATCGCTTGGAGCGTACTCATTGTCACTATCGATTTCCTCTACTGCAGCCTCTGCTGCCTTCTCGTACTCCCGCTTGGGGTGTTTTGTCTTAGGGTCTTTGGTTTTGGGGGTCTCCTGGACAATATTGTTAAGGCGTTGCCGCCTCGGACCTGTCGAACGGTCCGAAGAATTTCTCCTCTTAGAGGCGTTGGACTCATTGGGGTTGTTCTTGTTATATTTAGTGCGCTGCCCGAACTTGGAGGTCGGATCGACCTCCATAGGTTGAGGTGCCTGGTTGTCGTTATTGGTCTGACCATTAGCATTACCCTTTTGTCGCCTGACAAAGTGTGGGTTTCTGTCCTGGCCCTGTTTCAAGACGCTTGCGCACGTTCCTCTACGGCCTCGGCGTAGGAAGTTGCGAACATGCTCCTCTCAATGCTTGCTTTCGCTTCTCTGGCCAAAACCAGGGCAGATGGTAAGTCTTTAGGTTGAGCCGGGAACACCACAGCTCTGAGGTACTTTTTGAGGCCCGAAGTGAAAGCATGCAGGGCATCGGCTCTAACCTCCGCGTTGAGCAAGTCAGCGCCCTCTTGCTCGTGTGTCATCACAATCTTGTTGGTGACGAGCGTCAGCTTTTTCTC